AGAGAGAGAGAGAGAGAGAGAGAGAGAGAGAGAGAGAGAGAGAGAGAGAGAGAGAGAGAGAGAGAGGGAGATGGGCGACATTGGGACTTGACGACATGTGGGTTCAGACTCAGCATCGGGATTCAGACCTTTGGCGAGGGATCATTTGGGACTGTATCGAAGACTTGGTGTTGACGACATTTCCATCTTCCCCCTCCCCTTCGTCTAATCCCCCTCTTCTCCGTCTGTGCATGATCGGGGACTAACGCATTCTTCTCGTGTGAGCGTCAGCCCCCTTCACACCATGGAATGATGATGATGCACGTTTGGTCTGCATGGCAGCTTGATTGATCCTTTTTCATCCAGATCCGCCCAATCAAGTAGTCAGCTAAGGGTTTCATCAAAATCTCGGCAAATCTTTTTTTTCTTTCTAAACTTCGGATATTAGCATTTCGTTTTATCTGAAAAATTCTGATATTTGCATTTCGTTTTCACGCAACAAATACCCGAAAATTTCTGATAATAACATTTCGTTTTATCTGAAAAGTTCCGATATTTGCACTTCGTTTTTTTTTACGTAAAAAATATCCGAAAATTTCTGATAGTAGCATGTCGTTTTTCTGCCGTTAGCATCTCGTTTTCTAGGCATATTGGGGTTACGACGAAGGTTGTCATATTCGGGGAAACGGAATTTGTTCTTTTCTGAAAATCAAATCTCCTTTCTATTTCGCAAAAAGTTGGGCTCTGAAAGCCGAAATTTTGCGAAGCCTATCAGCATTTCGTTTTCTAGGCATAATAGAAGGTTGCCACATTCTCGGAAACTGAATTTATTATTTTGCTGACAATCGAACCTTTATCCTACCTTGCCTAGATCTCACTCACAGCATTGTCCATAAAATGCCTCACTGATAACAGATCGACAGATATACAAAAAAAAGAAAAGAAAAAAAAAAAGGGGGTGATCCGCTTCTTTTATTTTTTTATTTTTTTTTATTCTGTTGATTAGGACCGGCATGGAAATTGCAGTTTGATGGTTTGCCTGCGTTTTCCCTCCCACCCAGCCCCCTGTCTGTTTTCTCGCCTTGGTAAGTGCCACGTCAGCTTCAGTGCCACGTCAGTTGCAGGCCACGTCAGCAGTACCACGTCAGTAGCAGTGCCACGTCAGCAGTGCCACGACAACAGTCTGCAGCAGGGCCACGTCAGCAGTACCACGTCATCAACACCATACAGCTAACTGCAGCTTCTGCTCCAACGCAGCAACCGCATCGCAGCACGAGAAGGGCGGGCAGCCGCAGCAGAACAGCAGCTACCTCTGCCCCACCCCTCTGAAATGGACACCCAGGGCAACCCCACGGTGGACAATGCCGCATCCGGCAGTCCACGAGAGGCGTGCAGCTCGACCCCCCCGGCCCCACAGGCCCAGCAGGAGGGTTCCACCGTGACTTCTGTGGGAATCCTCGACGCTGCACCAGTCCGACAGCAAGGAGAGACCATGACGGCCTTCCTGGCCCGCCTGGGCACCTATATGCAGCAAGTCCAAGAGGAGCAACAACGCGAGGCGGCAGCTGAAGCAGCACGCCTTAATGCCATTGCACGCGCAGAAGAGCAACGACGCCGGCAGCAAGCCGACGCAGCTGCCAACCACAACAAAGCTCGAAGAGATGCTGCGTCTGTCCTCATGCAGCAGGAAGCCGCTCAGACCGCCGCACTCCAAGCATGGCATGTTGATCCGGCGGAAACGACGGAACCAACTACGGAGGACTAGACTAAGTAAGCTCTCGCCAGCATGATGCACCAAGTCATCCTCACTTGTAACTGGCAACAAGTGGAGCTGGCTCGGCAGGCACGTACCATTACTGAGTACGAGGAGACTCTCAAGGGCATCCACGCCCGCCTTGGCATGCTGGAGAAGGATGACGTGCCGCACAGGCACACGACATCGTCAAGCATTGAGCCATCAATCCGCGAGCTGGAAGGACGGATGGATCACCTAGTCGCGCTTGTCGGCAATTTGAACAGTTTCTGACACTCGACGACCGTCAGCCAGCAAATAGCCGCCCTACAAGCGGATCTGCGTCAACTGCAGCAGCAACCAACTGGGATCTGCAACAACGTGACACCGAAACAATTCAAGATGCCGAAGTTCAGCATCGACAAATTTGATGACTACCACAAGGCGGACCCCATCAGTTGGTGGCAAGGGTTCACCAATGAGCTCTCCATCCACTTGGTCCCGCCTGAGTCGAAGATCTCAGCGCTTTACCTCTGCAGCACTGGTGCCAACCAAGTGTGGCTCAACCACCTGGCTCAGACCGAGGGCATCGAAATCTCTAAGCTTCACACCAAGATCACTTGGAAGGCCATGACTGAGAAGTGGCGGAAACGCTTCATCGTCGACGATGCTCAGGGCAAAGGCGTGAACCGGATCTTCAGCATGCATCAAGGCAGCCAGCCAACACGCGAATGGCTAACTGCGTGGCAGAAAATCGTGACGATTCCGAATTTGGACATCCCATTCATACATCTTCGTCGCGAATTCTTCCAGCGGTCAGTTGACGCGTTGAGCACTGCCCTTGGGGAGCGCAGCCTGTACACGGACTTCGACCAGATCGTGGAGAATGTGCACGAAGTCATCCAAACCAATCGGTGGGCAGCCAACGAGCGGCGAAGCCAACCGAATTTTGTGGAAAAGGGCAAAGGCCCGCGGCCGCAGCAAGTCGCTGTTGTCCAAGGAAATGGAGACAGAGTCAACGCCCTTCCGCCATGACGCAACAACTACAACAACAACAAGAAGGCGAAATCTGCGTCAACAACGGAAGTCGGACAGCCGAATGAGCCATGGAAGAAGTTCAGCCTCACAAAGGAGCGATACAAACTTCGCCAGAGGTGGAACTGTTGCTACCGGTGCAACAGCACCAAGCATACGACGTCGCAATGCCCTGACAAAGGCAAAGAAGACGTCCGTCCACGGCAAAGCTCGGGAAACTGAGCTTCGCGGGAAGTGAGGCGACTCCACTTCCTACTCCGCCGGACACGGTTGCCTTGCTAACAACCTCCTCCATGTTCGGGGAACATGCGTATGTCGCCAGTCTTCGCGAAGGTTATGAAGACTATGTTGTCCAGCTGGTCCCGCCGTTGGACCAACCTCTCCACGTGCAAGACTCATTTGCGTGTGCGACTTCTTCACCATCGCCAAGTGAACCAGCATCCTCACCAACATCATTTAGGGACTCGTCGACGTGGTCTAGAGTTGAGGAACTCGACCCATTGACACCGGAGGACTTCCAATGGTTGCCTCTTCCCCCATCTGGTTCCTTGCCGAAGCCGCATTGCAACACCCTAATGGCGGAGCTACGCAACTACTTGCACGCTGCAGTACCAGCTCCGTTGATGGAAGACGGAGTAGCAGTTGTTGACCTTCGCGAGTACATTGTGAAGATTGACCGCGAGTACACCACGCAATGGTACGACGACACCGACGCACCGTTACTCTACGTCCGCATTCAGATCGGGAAGGCGACCTGCAGCGCCTTGATTGATTGTGGAGCTACTCGCAACTACATCAGCCAGGATTTCATGACCCGCGCCGGCTTTGGGCCGCGCGTTCGAAGGAAATCGAAGCCCACGCAAGTCACGTTGGCCGACGGTCGTACGCACAAGTCCATCGACCGGTGCATTGACTCCGTCCCCGTGTCCTTCGCCCCGCTTGCACGCGAGGTCGTGTCCTTTGACATATTGGACACAAAGTTCGACATGATCTTGGGCATGTCATGGTTGCGCAGCGAGGACCACCCAGTGAACTTCTACCGCCGCACCGTTCACGTCCATGACCGGAACGGGGTACTTGTGCCATGTACAGTCCCCCCACCGCATCCTTCGGTTGGTTTCACGTGGTCTCCGCGACAAGCATTCACAACTCCGTCGCACGGAACGGCGTGGAGGAAATGGGCGTTTGTTTCTTGCACGCCCTCCCTCCTCCCGATGAGCCAGCGGGGGAACAGCCACCGGATCCACGCATTGTACAGCTTCTTGACTCCTATGGCGGCGTCTTTGAAGCCCCCGCCGGAATCCTACCGAATCGGCCAATTCGTCACGAGATTATCCTCAAAGACGGGGCCGTACCTCCGCGCGGATGTATTTACCACATGAGCGAGGAGTAACTCGAAGTGCTTCGAACGCAACTCGATGACCTCATTGACAAGGGCTGGATTCGCCCTAGCTGCTCGCCCTACGGTGCACCTGTTCTCTTCGTTCGGAAGAAGAACAAGGAGCTGCGCTTATGCATTGACTATCGCAAGCTTAATGCTCAAACCATTAAGAATGCCGGCCCGCTCCCACGCATCGACGATCTTCTCGAACGCTTGGGCGGCGCCAAGTATTTCTCCAAGTTGGACCTCAAGGCCGGGTACCACCAGCTCGAGATCCATCCAAGAGATCGATATAAAACCGCGTTCAAAACACGGTACGGGCACTTCGAGTGGGTCGTAATGCCATTCGGCCTCACGAATGCCCCGGCCACCTTCCAAGCGGCAATGACAACGGAGTTTCGCAACTTGTTGGACTGGTTCGTGCTCATCTACCTCGATGACATCCTGGTGTATAGTCGAACTTTGGACGAGCACATCGTGCATCTACGTGTTGTTTTGGACAGGCTACGTACGGCCAAGTTCAAGGCCAACCGAGCCAAGTGCAAATTCGCACAGCAAAAGCTTGAGTACTTGGGCCACTTTGTGACGTTGCAAGGCATCGGTCCGCTTGCAGACAAGATCAAGGCCATCCAAGATTGGTCGGAACCGACCAACACCATGGAGGTTCACTCTTTTATGGAATTGGTTGGGTACTACCAACGCTTCATCAGATACGCACGGATCGCCGCACCTTTGTCCAGATTGCAGTCTCCACAGGTGCCCTTCCAGTTCACCGACGAAGTCCACAGTTCGTTCCACAAATTGAAGACGACATTGCTCCTCGCTCCCGTCTTGAGTATCTAGGATCCCACCTTGCCTACGGGAGTGACTACGGACGCTTCCTGCTACGGCATGGGTGCAGTTTTGTAACAACACGACGGAGTAGACTGGCATCTGCTTGAGTACTTCATCCAAAAGGTGCCTCCCATCAACTCCGTTAATGATGCGCGGAAGAAGGAGTTGCTCGCTTTCGTCATGGTACTCAAGCGTTGACGACACTTCCTCCTCGGGCGTTGTAGGTTTACTTGGGTGACGGATAATAACCCATTGACCTTCTACAAGACGCAAGACACGGTGAGCAGCACGATTGCTCGGTGGATGTGCTTCATCGATCAGTTCGACTTCACACCGAAACGCATTCCGGGCCTCTCCAACCGAGCCGCGGATGCTCTCTCGCGAAGATCAGATGACTCACCACGCGTTCAGTTTCGACGAAGCCCTTCATCAGCATTTTGTGCGAGCATACAAGTCCGATCCGGAATACGGCACGCTCTACGAGCAACTATCCTCGGATCACCCGCCAACCAGCCATTATTGCATCGTCGATGGCTACCTGCTGCTTCACTCACGAGGCAAGGACTTACCATGCGTCCCACACGATCGTCGCTTACGGACTCGTCTCCTCGGCGAGTACCAGACTCGAGACTCGCCGGCCACCTCGGAGTCAACCGTACGATCGCAAGACTTCGGTAGCGATTCCGGTGGCCTGATCTCATTACCGACGTCACTCAGTATTGCGACTCTTGCGAAGTTTGCCGACGAAGCAAACCCCGCAATCGCAACCCCTATGGTGAGTTACGCCCGTTGCCTATTCCACGGGAACCCGGCCTTTCCATTGCCATGGACGTCAGTGGCCCGTTCCCCCGGGACCGCTTCGGGCACGACGGCATTCTCACGGTCGTTGACCGTTTGAGCAAGTACGCACAATTTCTTCCTTGCAAGTACTACGCCACGGCTCCGGAACTTGCACGCCTCTTACACACCGGCTGGATTTGCGGCCACGACGTTCCGGAAGACATCGGCAGCGACCGCGACACTCGTTTCATGTCGGCATTTTGGACCTCTCTCATGAAAGAGTCCAGCACCGAGATGAAACCAAGTTCGGCTCGGCATCCGCAAACGGACGGGCAGACGGAGCGGGCACATCAAACCGCTCAAGTAATGCTTCGCACACTCATCCGTACGGATCAAAAGGATTGGGTGGACCGCCTCCCCGACATCGAATTCGCCTACAACACTTCGGTGCACCCGGCGATCAGCGTGACTCCGTTCGAGTTACACCACGGTGGCCGGAAAGGCCGCATTTTCGCTGATCTTCCTTTTCCAAGGACCGCTGACATTGACGCCGCTTGTTCGCCCGCGCCAACATGCAAAAGGCTCAAGTCCGCATGCAACAGCAAGCTAACAGGCGTCGCGTGCCATGCCCTATCCACGCCGACGACCTTGTTTGGGTCTCCACGGAAGAGTTTGCACTCGAGCAGGATGTATCCCGCAAGCTACTTCCAAAGTGGTTTGGACCATGGCCCGTCACATCAGCCGCGGGTGATGAGCCTGATGGCCCCACATTTGTGATCGAAATCCCGCCGCATCTTACGGTGCACCCGGTTTTCCACGCCTCCAAGCTAGCCACCTATACACCAGCCAAGAGCGACGACTTCCGGGGACGACGATCACAGGACCCTCCTTCCATGGATGGTCATCAGGAAGTTGACCGTGTCATCACGCATCGCAAGCACGACAACAAGCCTATGCAATACAACGTCACATTCAAGTGGTGTGACCCCAATGACACGCGATGGATGTCCCGGGCAGCTTTGCGAGCCTCCGCTCCTGACATCTAGTGTGGCATACTGCGCAGCCACACGGGCCTGCAGGGCCCGTCCTGCGGTCTCAGCCTAAAAGCCTAAAAACAAGGGCTTACAGGCCCCGTGTTTGTTTCAGCCTGACAACCTAAAAACCAGGGCCTACAGGCCCCGTGTCGTTTCAGCCTGACAGCCTGAAAACAAGGGCCTATAGGCCCTCAGGCTTTAGCCAGAAGCTACCTGCAAACTTCCCGGGCTTTAGCCAGAAGCTACCTGGAAACTTCCCGGAAGCTTCCTGAGGGTCTAGCACGTTTGGGCATTGGCAAGAGCTGCCTCGTGGACAGGCCAGCACTATATAAGACTGGCCCGCCCTACAGGCAGGTAGTTCATAGGGACTGGCCAGGCAGTTCACGTGCAGTCCAGGCAGAAGGCAGGAGGCCGTCTTCAGGATTCGGCAGCAGCATTGTGGAGGAGGGCTGCAGGAGTAGCGTTAGCGCTAGCAGTAGTCTTCAGCGCTGGGCGCTAGTAGCTGCAGGAGTAGTCTTCAGCGCAGGGCGCTAGTAGTAGTAGTAGTGTTGGAGAGAGATGGCTGGCGGAGGCCAGCGAGACTTACCTGGGGCGCCATAGCTCCAGCTCCATCTTCGAGGTACCTGCATCAAGGCGCCAGCTTCACAGGTTAGTACCGGACGCAGAGAGAGAGAGAGTTCTTCTTCTTCCTCTTCTAAGTCCACCATCTCTTCTTCACCCTCTCACTACCTGACTTTTCAGTATCTGCGGACCACGCGCGCGCGCGCGCGAGAGAGAGAGAGAGAGAGAGCTGTGACTTGAGACTTGACAACATTGGATCCAGACTCGACATTGGGATTCAGACATTTGACGGGGATTATTTGGGACCTGTATCGCAGACTTGGTGTTGACGACATTCCCATCTTCCCCTCTTCCTTGTCTAACCCCCCTCTTCTTCGTCTGTGTATGGCGGGGAGTGGCGCATTCTTCCTGTGTGAGCGCCAGGCCCCTTCCCACCATGGAATGATGATGATGTGTGTTTGGGGCTGCATTGCAACATTGATTGTTCGGATCACTGGTATCTAAGTCTTCCGCTACACAATCTTGTACTTTGTGAGAGAGGTCGGTTCTTGTTCTGGTCTGCACTGTTACGGTATGCAACATCTAGGCTCATTATGAGAAGAAACGGCTAGCGACGGAAGCTGCACAGCCTCCCACCCGGACTTCAGTCCCTCTCTCGACCAGACAGCTTCTCCCCGCAGGTAAGCTCGACCTTTCAAGGAGGGGGGAGTGTGGCATACTCTGTACCACACGGGCCCAGCAGAGCCCGACTTGGCAGACTAAGGGTCCGTAGGAGTAGGGCCTGTTTCGTTTCAGCCTAAAGGCCTAAAACGAGGGCCTACAGGCCCTGTGTCGTTTCGGCCTCCAGCCTGAAAACGACGGGCCATTTTCAGGTCCTCGCAAGATCGACCTACCCTGAAACTCAGGCACCAGACCG